AATTTTAGTATAGTCTCAAAGAAGAATATAAATGAGAGGCCACTAGGCCTGTGTTGACTTTCTTTTTCTGTTGAAGTATTGTCAGTTTCACTTTGGTTTCTTTTAATCTTGTCTAAGTTTTCTAGCTTATCTTATTTGTTAACTGTGAGTCCAAGGCCAGAGGCAGCTGTTAGTCACTAAAGATTTAATTACTTTATACTTCCTTGTTTATGTTTTGCCGATTATTTGTTTACTTAGTATTTTGTGATCTACAGGAAAGAGTTCTTCTTCATAAGATTTAGTAATCTAATTGGTTTTTATACAAATAAGTAATATTATTTAAAATAAAAATTAGCAATAATCTTCTTTATATATTAGATATAAAGATATTAAAATATTAATACTATTTTTTTTAAAAACCTTATATATCTAATTTTTTCTTAACTAAAGTTTTTTTGTTTTTTTTTAAAAAATTAAAATCTCTATCTTTGAGATGTGATATTTTTATTTAAATTTATAAAATACTGATTCTTTCAGAAGCTTTCTTATATTAAAGATTACAACTAGTTATATATGCACTTTTGGTGTCTAATTTAAGTAGTTCATTTATATATTATTATATAAATTTTATACTAAATGCTATATTTGCAAATTAGTTAAAAGTCTTGTGTATTTAAATTTTCTGTATATGCAATCCATTTTGTATTATGAAAACATCTTTAGAACATAACTCATCTAAGTTCTGATATTTATTAGTATCTTAAAACTATTTTATTTTTAACAAGAGACTTATTAGAGCTTGTCATATTTCATATATAACTGATTTAGTTTTATACAATATGCTATAGTTATCTAATACTTGCAGTTATAAAGATTATTTATTTAATTGCTATATTATACTATTTCTATTTTTATAAAATTTACTAGAACTCAGTATCTATTTTGTTAATATCATTTTTATTATTTTTTTACTAATTACAACTTGAAAACAGCAGACTCTAGTTAGACTACTAATTCAGATAACTTAGTATAATATACTTTTGTATCCTTTTCTTTTGACAAGTTTGATAACCTAGTTGATTATATATTTCTTTATACATATTTGATATCTAGTTTATTTAATCTGTTCTTATAAAAATATTTTGTGAACTTTAACTCATTTGATAATATTATTAAAAATTCATACTACCTTTTTATTTAGAAATTTCTAAGTAGGTTTTGTTATCTTAGTTCTTTAATTTTTTATATCTAATAATCTTATTATAAGTTTATATTAAAGTTTTATACAATACTAATTATTAAGTTTCTTTTATATATACAGTATATAATATTACACTGTACATAAATGATTCAAACTCCTAATATTAGATAAGACCTGACTTGATGTACTTGAATTACAACTAAATAAGGCCAACTGATTGACAGAAGACAGTTACTATAATATAGATATAATTTTCAAATTTTATTATAAGTAAAATTTGAACCTTAAACCTGCCATTTAAAGGATAATAATCCAACTACTACACTAGGATTATCATTCTTACCAAAATCTTTTGTAACATTACAATTATACATAATATTTATATTTTATGATTAAATCTTTTTTCAAAAATTTTTATTTCAAATTCATACTTGTACTTAAATTTTAACTACAAAACTTTATATTTAATTATAATTCTTGAATTATAAAAATTTTTTTTTAAATACTTTTAACCCAACCTAAACCATTGATCTTATCTGTAAAGTTTTGAAAACTTAACAATTAAACTATAAAATCCAAACCTATTTTATTATAAATTTTTTTTTTTTTGATTTTACCTCCCTCCATTATCCTGAAGGTTCTTAGACACCTTTAGGATCTGTCACATCTCTTAAAGGTCAGAGTTATCATTCTGCAAAGATCATCAGATGGCAGGTAACCCCTATATTCATCACCGTGCTCGTGAGATAGCTCATGCTCTGTTAAATCCATCATATGATATTCTGGGTCCCTGGTTCTGCAATGTAGGACCTACTATCTTTATTCAGTCTGCAGTTCTCTAACTTCATATGACCCACCAGCCGGATCATTCTTCTATTATTCATTTCTTTATATTACTTTAAGCTGAGAAACCTTATGTTAATAACATTTCTTGTCAGATTTTCTCTTTTCTGGATGCCGCATGACCTTTGTGACTATGTCACACAACTTATTTATCATTGTAGTAATCTGTTCAAAAGCAGAAAGCTCCTCTTAAAGATCATTTCCAATCGTGATCCTGGCACAGCTTTTATCTTCCAGTTGGACTCGAACCGGCAACCTTGTGATTGTGACCCTGGAGCACTAACCACTGTGCTATCGACCCAGAGGTCTTTATTATAAATTTGAAAAATATCATATATTCAAATTATTATAAAATCATATAAAGTTTTTAGCTTAATATAATTTTAAAAAAAAAAATAGAATATAACTGCTATTGATTGATTTGACCTGTTATGAAAACAAACACAGATCCAAAGTTTGAAATATTTTGAATAGAAAATCAATGAATGTAAAATACAGTCAACTCTGGATATAATCAACTCAAAATTTTTATAATCTGTAGTTTGGTATAGAAAGTGTAAATGGGTCCTTATGAAAACATAGTAATTTTCTATAACAAACCTTTTTTTTTTTCTAGAACCGTCAGTTCGTTATAGAAAGAGTTGACTGTACGAAAAAAAATCCCGAAAATTATAATTGACGTAATTAATGTACCAAGATGTTCGCTAAAATGATTAAAGATGACCGTAAACATTTATTCGCTTAATTATAGAAATATAGATGAATTTTTTGTGGTCCTGTCGTATCACATTTACATCTGATTGGTAGCTCAGACACATGATCGATGATTCATCAAGAGTATGTAACTATTAATCTTATTATTATTATTATGATATTAATAGATACATCTTTTATTCAAATTTATTTTTTTTTTTTACTATGTAATAATTAATTTTACAATAAATAAATGATAAGAATTTGTATAAACTATTTTTAATTTCTATTTAAGCTATAAATCCGAATTTTAAAGTTAGTATTAAAGTTTAATATACTTAACCTAGGATAACAATGAATCAAAATTTCAGATATTAAATATTTACATCATAAGCTTAAAAATTATACAGTTGACACTCTTTAAGTCTCCTTAAGTGTAGAGACTAGAGCAACAAATAAGAATCCAACTATGATCCAATTATATAAAACGGGATCATGAAGGATCATTAGTAATCTAAATAAAAAATATTATTATGGATGAAACATGCACTTAAAAGAGGATTGACAAATCGAGAGACAATAATAATAATAATAATAATAATAATAATATAATTTATTTATTTCTTTATAAATGTTTTTTGATCTCACCTGAGAATTAATACATCAAGAAAAAATATACGTAGCAAAATACCCACAGTTAAATGAGACGAATGTTCCTTATTATATATTAGTCAGAATAAAATCCGATTATGTATATACAAAATCAAACCGCTATTCAAAAGAATATTATGATAAGTAAATTCAAAAATCATTTAATAGCAACAATCAATTAATAAATTATTACATTAATGACACATACCTTAATTTATTTTACAGAACGAAAAGCCATAGATTCAGTAGTCAAAACATCAGCAGCTACAATAGAATTAGTAACAGTCGAACCAATTTGATCCAAGGTCTTTGCATGATCAGATAAAATGCCCCATTCTTTTGAATCATCATAACCAGCACCAAAATCATCATCCAAAACTTCAGGATGATCCTGAGCATATTTTGCGAAAACTCTCTGTAAACTTTCAATCATAGGATTCCTATACAAAGATATAGCAACATGTTCACGATTTATCCGTTCAATAGCTCTAGTTAATCTACGTTGATTATGAGGATGAATAATGTAATTTTCATCATCAGCAAGAAAAGAATCACGTTGAAGATTGATCTTTTGTTGAGTGCGAGAAATAGCATTACTCGAAGGAGGAAAACGAGATTGAAAATAATCAAGAGAGTCAGAAGTGTAAGACTCATCAAGAGCAGAAGGATTTAAATCGAAATGATCATTAGAAACAATATTTTGAGGAGGAGGAGTGGAATAAGGAGAAAAATGGTTATTATTAAATGTTACACCTTCTACAGGTGAAGGTATAGGAGTAGTCTCAGGAGAGTTTAATAAAGTATTAATAGTAATCTTTGTTGAAGCAGAAGCAGTAGTTTGAGGTTGATCAGTCGTTGTTGTAATGGTAGCATTAGTTGTAATGGAAGTAGTAGTTTGAGATTGATCAGTCGTTGTTGTAACGGTAGTATTATCTGTATCATTAGCTGTGTCATTAGCTGTGTCATTAGTTGTGCCATTAGTTGTGTCGGGAGCAACCTGAGAAGATTCATTTTGAGACTTATTTGATGGACTGTTTGATTCGGATAAATGATCCTTTTCAGCAACCGATTGTTGGATAGATTCCTGAATAGGCTGTTGAGTAGGTTCTTGAATGGGTTCTTGAATGGGTTCTTGAATGGGCTCTTGAATGGGTTCTTGAAAGGGTTGTTGAATGGGTTGTTGAATAGATTGCTGAATAGATTTTTTGGATGAAGCACTCGATGATATACTATTATTATTATTATTATTATTATTATTATTATTATTATTATTATTATTATTATTATTATTATTACTATTATTACTATTATTATTACTACTATTATTATTATTATTACTATTAGGTACGATATCAGGAGAAGAATTTGAAGTACTAGAAAGATTAGCTAGATTCTCTGACGATTCCATGACGAAAAAAAACAGTGCGAGATTAAAAAAAGAAAAGGAATACTTTTTTGCATTCACATGATTATTGTGTTATATCTGATCATGTAATGCTAGTAACACAACCTTTTAGGATATGTGCTGTTATATAATTTTTAGTGCCCTAAAAATTTAATGGTGGGTCAGATCGTTTGACATTGTATTGTCTTGTAATTGGTTAGTTCTAGCGTCGCTAATAATCGAGGCCGCAAAGCCATAGGACTTTTCTTATTATACGATATATCGGTATTATTAGGGACTTTTATGTAATTATTGAAATTACGTTAGTTAATTACTGTCCGACAATTACTAACAATATTTAATAAATAATAAATTCATAAGCTGCTTTTTAATTGAGCCCACAATCTATCTCTTTACAAAATAAGGTATTCATTTCTTCAACCTCTTCTGTTTGTCCAATTTGTTTTCGAATTTTAAGTCTGAAAATGGACTTAAACGACACTATAACACAATTAAAAAGTACGATATACCACAAAATGCTGTAATATGCCATAATTCTATTTTTTAAATATCAAAACTCAAATCAATAGGTTAATGTTACAGTATTTGAACCAAAATAACTAAAAGAAGATATAATAATTATCATATGTATAGGTTAAAGCTTATATATTAAATAGCTGCTCGATACGTAATAGTAAGTATTGAGGAAGCTTTTGTTTCAAATCATGTGAACATGTGATAGGCCCATTATGGTCACATGTTTGATCGATTTTCGATCAATCGAACGAAAGTATGTAGTAATTTGTATAATTTATGTGTTTAGTGTAGCAATAATGAGGTAATTGAATAAGTATGAAGTAATTGAGTAAAAATAAAGTAATTGAGTAAGCATGAGGTAATTAGAGAATTATAAGGTAATTTAAGAGTAGTATATTAGTATAGTTAGAGAAAGTAAGAGTTAGTAACTTTGTCTTTTCTATGAACCTGATTTTTGTTCTGGTTAATTTGATCCTACTCATCCTACTCAAGTCTGGTCTGTCAGGACAGCAGTTAAGAAGGGTTGGTAAAATGGGTGAGTTTTTAATAGAAATTTTTTGAAATGTAACCTGTTTGAATAACAGTCATAATGAATAATTAGTCAGTTAGAATGAGCTCTAATAGTTAACATGGTACTATTTATAATAATTTAATTGTTAATAAAAAGAGTAAGTATAAATGATAAAGTTCAATTATAATAAAATCAATAATAGTTTAATAGGAAGAAATAATAATAAGGCAGATCAGAAAGTGAATTTAAATAAGAATAGTTTTAATCTTAAACATATATATAACTAAATAATTTAAAGTAATCTACACATTGATCAAATAAATTTATTTTATATTAATATTATCTAATTCAAACAGTATTTTATTATATTCTATTAATTATAATATCTTTTAATCTATATTTTGTCAAGGATACAACTTTTAATTACTTAGAAAAAGGTTTATTTAATCTTAATGCTTACTTTCTTTATATTAACTAAGAGACTCAACATATTCTTTATTCAATAATCAAATAGACATAAAGAGGAATTAATTATTTAATTTAAATTTTAAATGAATTAAACATTAAGAATTTCAGATATAAGGTACTAATGATTTATTTAATAAATTTATTGATAACTAAAATTACAAATATTTATTTATATATTTTTATTTATAAAGCAATTTTTTTTTATAGATATTGTGCAAAAGATTGTTTTAATAATCATATATATAAATTCAACTGAATATAGTAAAGGTTATTTATATTATATAAATACATATACTTGATACTTAGTAACTAAGAAAAGATTGATCAATATATACAAATTTATTTAATATAAAGTTTTTTAAGTTTTGATTATAATTTAAACAAATTATTGTTATTATAAGCAAAAAAAGATTTTAAAATTCATATTTCAAAATTTCAATTGTAGTTATTTTTTTTTTTAACAAGATTTTTATTATTTATAATAGATTTTTAAAAATAATAAATTATATGTGAATAGTTTTTTTTTAACTATACTATAAGAAAAGATTTTTAATCTTTATTATTTATGTTTTTGATATAATTTTTATCTATAAATTACTAAAAAATAAATATAAGAGGTTATGTAACTTAGTAAATAGAGGCCTTTAATAATCTTTTGTAAGTTATTTAAATCTTTTTTATCAGGTTTTAAAAAAAGTCTTAACTATTTAAGTGCTAGATATTTATATATAAAGGATCACTATTTTAAGAATATATTGCTTTATAGTTTAATAAAATTATTTTACAAAAATCAAATTAGTTTAGTTTGACTTAAACAAAAAAAAGTTTCTAAATTAAAATATTGTAATACTTTAATTTTATTATTACTTATTAATAATGTATATTTTCAAATATTTAATTCTTTCTAGAAATAAAACTTAACTTTAAGTCATTTTATTTTGTTTATAATTATTTTTAACTAATATTATTAAATAAATTTCTCTCTTTAAGTTCTAATAATACTAATGTTCAAGAGGATGGCAATCCTAGTGTAGTGGTTGGGTTGACATTCTCTAAGTGGCAGGTCTAAGGTTCAAATCTCACTTATGACAAAATTTGGAAATTATATTTGTGTTATAGTAACTGTCTTCTGTTGATCAGTTGGCCTTATGTAGCTGTTATCTAGGTACACCAAGTTAGGTCCCTCAACATTGAGAGCTTAGGCATCTATGTGAAGTGTACATTACATATATATAGAGAAATGTTTACCAGTATTGTATAAGACTTCGGTGCAAACCCGCAATAAGACTACTAGGCATAGAAGACTAAAGAACTGAGATAACAGAAACCTACTTAGAAATTCCTGAGTAAAGAGGTAGCATGAACTTTCGATAATACCATTAGACTGGTTGAAGCTCACGAAACACCTTCATAAAAACCGAAGATTAAAACTGGATAGCAAATATGTGTAAAAAAGCATATAACCAACCAGGCTGCCGGGTTCGCCAGAGGAAAAGGATACAAAAGTATACCATACCAGGCCATCTGAATTGGTAGTCTGGATTGAGACCAATGATTCTGAGTTGCAGCTAGTAGGGGATGATAGAGAAGATGCCAGAAAGATGGATACTGGGGTTCTAGTAAACTTTACAAGTGTAGAAATAGTATAATATAGCAGTTAAACAGATAACTCCTGTGACTACAAGTGTTAGATAACTATAGCATATTGCATAAAACTAGGTCTATATGTATAGGACATAAAGGCTCTAGTAAGTTTCCTATCAAGGATAAAGTAGTCCTAAGGATATTGATAAGCATCAAAAACTTGGATGGGTGGCTCCTTGAGATGTTCTCGTAATACAAAAAGGACTGCATATGCAGAGGATTTAAATAGACAAAACCCTTAGTTGGCTTGCAAGTATGGCAACTAGTGTAAAACTTATATAGTAATGTGTAAGCAGACTACTTAAATTAAACATCAAAAGTGCATGTGTGGCTAGTTGTAATCTTCAATGTAAGATGAGCCCCTGGTGAATAAAAACATCGCAACTTTCAAGATAGAGACTTTAACTAAAAAAAAAAAAATAATAATACTAATGTTCAAAGTTAATTTTCAATTCTTAATAAAATATATAGATCATCAAATACATAGTTAGATAATAAAATAATATCAAATAATAGTGCTTTAATATAATCTAAAATATTTAGATAATTATTTTTTAAATTATTTATAGATTTAGTAATCTACCAATCTTGTATAATATCACTGATTTTATGTTTTAAATAGTAATACCAAGTACAAAAATAATTTGAATTAGCAAAATTTAATTTAAGACAAATAGTAAGAAATTTTCAGTTACTGCTAAAATATAGTTCAAAATGCTAAAAAACTTCTTCAATATTTAATTTATTATTTTTAAGATCTTAAAGATCATTAAATAATAGATTTAAAATAAATTTAAGGAACTTGTATTTTTTAATTCTAAAATATAAGATAACAATGTGATGATAATTAAACATATAATGATTTTTTGTATCATTAAAGATAAAGTTTATATAGATTATTTTATCATATAATTTGCATGTTCAATTAAAATTTTTATAAAAAATTAAAAGATGTTACTAATAAAACTTTTTATGATGAGGATGGTGATCCTAGTATAGTGGTTGGGTTGTCATCTTCCAAGTGACAGGTCTAAAGTTCAAATCTCATCTATGACGAAATTTGGAAATTAACCTGTGTTATGGCAAACTGTCTCTTGATGATCAGTTGGATTTGTGTATTTGTAACCTTAAGTCACACCATCTTGGATAGGAGCTCAGGGCATCTATACCAAGTATAACATTATATGTATATAGAGGAATGTTAATAACCAGTATCATATAAGACTTTGATGCAAACCCACGATAAGACTACTAAGTGCAGTAAACTAAGAAATCGAAGAGTCAAAAGCCTACTTGGAAATTCCCAAGTAAAGAGGTAGCATAAACTTTTGACAGTATGGTCAAACTAA